TTTGAGTAGTTTGGAGAACCGGTAGCGGAAATTTTGAGTAGTTTGGAATACCACCTCTAACTGGTCCCATCGCTATCTATTCTCTGCCTCCCAAGACCCAGGTGATCAGCTAGTTTTTTTGTTGCCCTATACAGGAGAACAGAGCTGGAAAGCATGTCAGTGGGGTGTGGAGAGAATGGGGATTTTACAGTATCCTTCCCCTACCACGCCCACCAAGCCACACCATGCCCACCAAGCCATGCCCACAGAACCAGTAGTAAAAAAAATTGAATCCCACCACTGGTATAAAATCAATAATTATAACATAAAAACAATTTGTGTCTACAATTTGCTAAGGATAACAACTATAAAATAAAAAGAGCAGGAGACAGAAAGTATAGGTCTGCTATAAAAGGGGTCCCCAGCCCTTGGACCAGCACTGATCCACAGCATGGCAGAAACCAGGCCACACAAACAAGCAAACCCCCATCTATGGGATGCAAGCAGCATGGGAAACCACACTCCCTCCAGTTCGCAGAAAAACCTCTCTCTGCAGAATTGGTTCCTGGTGCTCAAAAGGTTGGGGGCCACTGTGTTATAAGATCAAATATGAGCTGTCTAAAAAAAAGCTAAAAGAAGAAGGTGCAACAGCAATAGTATCTGGAAGAGCAAATGAGTGGAAATGGACAGCCATAGTGTGGTAGTTAGGCATAAGTCAAACAACCGGAGTTGTTAAGCTGTCTCTCAAGTTCAGTATTGTAACAAATTAACGTGCTTATCTTTCTGGAGATTTAGAAGGAAACTAAAGATTGCAGCCTCTTCAGTTTAAGTTTTGGTTTTTTAAAAAATAATAATTTTTTTTTACAACAAAAACAAACACATAACACCATCTTTAAGTTCAACAGTGTGTCTGTAGGGTACATGTATCTTGTGCACATAATAATATTATCATATATTTCTTACTTGTTTATATATATAAAACCATTCTAATTAATATTTTATCTCACATTGGTCAATTATTATATTATCATTAATATTGTAATTATTATCTTTAAAAAATATATTTCATCCTTACCTAAATTATATTCATTCTCTTGCTCAATCTAAGTCAATTAATTGTAATATATTATTACTATTAACACATGTTTCCGTTTCTTACTCTTCTGTCTAACCATTCATAAAAGTTAAAGTTTTGTTCTATTGGAGAAGAAATTAAATATTCCCTTTTTCATTATATTGTTTTTAGTAGAATTCCACAAGCTAGGAGTTGAATGTGTCTATAACAACAAGCAGCTGATAAGCTGGGCAGATGTTGCTTTTCTCTGCTGTCTTCCATGTCATCTTCCACATATATGTTCTGAAATTCATGATTCTCTCAAAAACACTTGTATTATATATAGCCTGGTCACAGCAATCCCTTTGGACAGGTATTGTGCATTATGATATCGTTGCTAATTTGAATTGAAAACCAAAAAATATCATGTTCCCTTCCAAATGTTTATTCCTAGAACGGCCCAATATATGAGTCTGCATATATATGAACATTATATGAGTGCAATTACCAGAAATGGAATTTGGCTGTGCACATCTTAGGTCTTTTATATGAATAAGAATGGCATTGTAGTAGACTCTTTTGTCAAATAGTGAAAGCCAGACTTTAATATTAAGGTTACTGCCATTTCTGCCATATGTTTTGTAGTTACATTTCAAAGGTATAAACACGACTGTTGTTGTAACTGAGCATATATCTTTTTTACTGTGTCCATGTACGATAGAACAAGAAATCAATACATATACATAACATGCCCATTTTGTGTACGTACAGTATATTAACAATAATTGGCTGAAGGAAGTAGCTGAAAATTGGCATGATTCACAGATACATATTTTTGCACCCTTGCTTTTTGATGTTTAATCCAACAGCATAATCTTACTTCCTTTCAGATTGAAGCAACTGATGTCCTCCTGTTCAATCTTGAGACCACAATACAAGTGCTCTGAGAACAGCTCTTTTTCTCTATGGGAGGCTAACAGGACAGTTCTGGAAGCCCTCAAAGATACAGCAGTTATCCAGGCGACATGTCCTTGCAACTCCAAGAGTAGGCTGACTTTTGCAAGCCTTTTCCCCTTGTTCTTTTATAACTATCTGTGTCCTGTCCAGAAAATTAGTGTCAGTGACGATGCAATAAGCTATGGGCACTATTAGCCCCTGTGATGCCTGACCCATCCATGCAGCAGAATGTGGTGGCAAAGGTGGCTATAGAAAAGCCAATTGAGGAATGTTCAAAACAGGAGCAGTGCAAGCATTTTTCCTTTATTAGCTTGTATTTTACAGTTGAAGCTTTAAACAATATTCTCCAACTTGGTGTTTTCCATTGGCCATTATGACTCAAGAGTGATGGGAGGGCAAAAGGTCAAAGAAGGCTATTAAAGAGGCACGGTGAACTAAGCATGAAAGAAAATATTTCCTTATTTTTCAGGTGAAATAGCTGTCAACATGAAGTGGCTGGCAGCTGTATTTTATACAGCTTTAAATAGCTATACCGAACAACACTTATCCTATACAAAGGCTCTGGGATTGCTCAATCAAGTATGTTTTTGTGAAGGCAATGCCACCACCTCATCTCCATTTCTAGTTTGTGAACATTTTATCAACCAAGCTTTTGCTTCCTCCTTGGCTGCTGATGAGTAAGTAAAATCCAGTAGAAAGTTGTTCTGTTTAATCTTGTTTTATCCAACAATTTTCATAATGCATCATTTGTGGAATTTATGAGTAATATTTAGTGGCTTAATTTTTTAAGAGAAATAATATGAATAACTCTCCCAGAAAGTCACAAAGTACAGGAGCTTCTGTCCTGACAAGCTCATCCAATGTCCCCCTCCCACATCAAATCCCCAATAACACATCAGGATTCCAATGGTATAAGAGAATGGTGCTTATACATGCTGGCTCCTTCCTTCCTGTACCTCAGCTTGAGACCTATCGGTGCATCATACCCAATCTGTGTCCTTGCGTAATTCAGTCTGCATTTTTCAGAATTTGTCCCATGTTCCACTTCAGACTGCGCTGCTTCTAAAGCTAAGCCATCGTGTGGAGGCTACTGAAAACACAATTTGCCTTTGTAGCAATATTGTCATAAATTGAAGACATTTCTCTTATGAGTAATCCTGAATGTAAAAATGATTTTATGTACATTTTGTGATGTAAATATGTTGAGGCTAGCACAGAAGCTCTGTATATAGGTAGTCCTCGACTTACGGCTGGTTGCTTAGCAATTATTAGAAGTTATGACTTATCTGATAAAAGGCAGCCACAACCTGTTTTGAAATTCTGATGCCTATGTACCTATGGCCACATAATTGCATTTCGAGTGTTTGTGTGGCCATTGTGGCAATCTTGGGCTTATGCCAGGTCATCACTGGCCCGACCTATAAGGCTGGCCATTACATCTGGCTTTTATCTTGGAGAAGATAGAATACGATCTAGTTCTGGGGAATATTTCTTGCAGTCTCTGTCACAGGCAGCTCACTTTCTTGTGACAATGGGATTACCTGAAGCTACTTGCATCTGCAGAGAAGAAGGGTCAATTGAGATGCTGTTCTACCCCCAAGGACCTGATGGGTCTCAGCCTGGAGTTTCAAATAGTGATTGGGGATTTTGCCATCTTCCCATTCTGTAGAGTGCCTTGTTAATCTCTGGATTACAGAGGCAACCACAACAAGATCATCTCTTGAATAACAACAAACAAATAACAACTAAAAAACATAACAAAACAACTCATGGATAAAATATCTTAAAAATAAAAAAAGTGATGGCCCAATCGAGTTAAAATATTTTCAAGAAAAGTCCTGTCTTTAACATCTTTCTGAATGCAATCAAAAAAGGGACCAACTCAGAGTTCCCATTTTTAGTTCCTGGTTATTTCAGTGACCCTAGACCAGAACTCTGAACTAACAGCTAATATTTTACATAGTGACAGATTTGAAGTACTGCTGTGCTTTCCTTGAAACTTTAAAAGCCCCCAGGGCAGCACATGCATATTTTGGGAGCTGCAGGGCTGGTGTTAACTCCACAGAAGAGTTTTCAGAGAACTAAGTACCTATTGGCTTCAGTTCTCCCAAAGTAGGGTACTGGAGTAGGTTCTGTTTAGATGACCTATTTGGAGTAAGTGATAAATTGCATACATACAAAAAGAACCTATGATAGATGCCTGAAGAACCTTTAGAGACTGGAGCTTAATCATTAAATGTACTCCCATTTCCATTCCTTTACCTCTGCAGTGATAAAACAGTTACCATATAACTTCAGAACCCATACATAATACACTTTTCTTTTCTAGTTCCTTCCCCTGGTTTGATATAACAACTGTCCAGCTAAAAGACTCGCCTCTTAGCCAGTCTCTTGAAACAAATACATCACTTCAAGAATTCATTGCTTCATCTTACTTTAACATGATAACAGCATTGGCCAAGAAAAGTGAAGATTTGACGACATCTATGACTAAAAAGATACCTCTCTCAGCAGTGTTGCTGAAACCCACTAAGTCACTGGTTTTTCAAATTGATGAAATGTCTGCAAAGAAAACAGAAGAGACATCCAGTACTGATTCTGAAGACTTATAAATTATCCAAGCTGTTAGAAGTGGAAATATTCTTTTGCTCTCATTTTTATCATTAAAAGAACTTTGGGAGCAGCGTCTACAATGTTATAAGAATTCAAATGGTAAATATTAATGAAAGCCAATTGAAAATTACATTTTGCAGTGAAAATTTAGGCATAAATGCAAAATAGAAGGAAAATTCTAAAAAAAACAATTAACATGATTTATACTGTATATCCCCCTTTCTATCATACTTGTCCATCTTGCATTCACATGAATACACTAATGTGTTTCACTATCATTTTGTGCAGATTCCACTATGTCATATACCCTGTCATATTTGGTACTTTAATTGAAGTTTGTGTTTTATTGTATCTTTTAGATCTGAAGTGATTACCCCCTTTGGCTTTCATGTCTACTTTTCAGAAATAAATTATGTTCTAAATAATGTATTTATAAGTTTGGTTATTTGATTTTTCATGTTGCTACTGTGGATTTATTTAAAACTTAAGGAATTTATTTAGAACTTAAGGAAAATTTAATTCATAAAATACAATTGGCTTAACTAAATATTGTTGCATATTTGATCATTATAAACATTTTATAATGTATGGAACATTTTAAGCAGCACTGCCTGACTTTAATGTTTTTGTAAGGGATGCTGTCAATTGATATGAAATATTTAAAGCAACTCATTAATGTGTGGCAGCTGTCTTGAAGTCCCATATATTCTTATAAGACTCCTCATAGGACAAATGATAAAACTTCATCATAAATAACGGTAAGAACAATCCTCTGTGTTTACATATGACTTTATTTTGCATTACTGATGTGCAAAAAATTCTGTTTTGCATCCATCAGTAAGCACTTCCTCCATGATATCCTATTTATTAAATTTAGGATTAGGATACAGCATCCATATATAATTTTGTTCACACTGAAAACTGAAATAGAAATACAAAAATAGTTACAATGTAATATCTGAAATATGTGAACAATAAATATTTTTTCTTATTTTGAGAAAAATGAACTGGCTTCTTGTAGTTCTTCACATGGTGGAGTTGAAAGCTGTAGTTCTTCATATGGTGGAGTTGGAGGCTTTGGTTCATATTCTTGTAACCTTGCTTCTTGAACAAACTGAGAATAACTAAGAGCATCACTGCGCTTTCCAGTTCGTGTCTTTTGTTCTAAGAACAAACCAATGTTATCTCGAGGCGGGAGAGAGATACTTCTTTCAAAACGGGGCTCCTCAATTTGCAGCAATTCTCGTACATGCTTTGAAATTTCCTGCAAAGAAAAAAAGAGGAAAAAAGTCTAGAAATCTAAAAAAAATCTAAAAAATTGGAAGTTGTAGGAGCGCCATCAGTTGAGTCTTTCAAGAAGAGATTGGACTGCCATTTGTCAGAAATGGTGTAGGGTCTCCCGCTTGGGCGGGGGGTTGGACTAGATGACCTACAAGGTCCCTTCCAACTCTGATTATCTGTATCTCTGTATCTAGAAAACAATTACTATGTTCATCTTTCTAAACCTACATAATTATCATTATAGTACCCCACTAGGCTGGCATATAATTCAAAGTAATCCAGTGCAGTATACACTATCTATCATATAAATGTACTACTGTTACGTGTAGTTTAGGTTCTTAATCTTTTATATACCAAAAGGTTTAAAATGGATTTTGCCACAAGAAAGAAACATGGTCACACAAATCCATTTCATTCTCAGTAAAGAAAGCTGGAAAATATGTCTGTAACGTAAGAATAACGTCTCCATATGCATGCATTTCAGGTTCGAATTTAAGCAACCATTCTTAGCTTCTAAACAAACACTAAAAATACTGTATTCTTAACATTTATCAGTTAAACATTTTCAGAGAAAGTCAGTACAAAACCACAAAATTAATAAAAAGTAAAATCATCAATAGTCAACAGCATGATGGTAACATTCTATGTGTGTGAACAAAAAATATAATTAATAGATTCTCCCATATAGGATCCTTTTAACTTAAAATAACTATATGGGGTTTTTTCTTCTTCTGTTCAATCACATGCAATTCTTGGAGACTGCCTAAGCAAATCCCTACAGCTTTTTTGGCAAGATTTTTCAGAAATTGTTTTTCGTTGCCTCCTTCCTAGGACTGAGGGAAAGGGAGTAGCCTGAGGCCACCCAGCTGGCTTTGTGCCTAAGTGAGGGACTAGAATCCATGGTCTCCTGGTTTTCAGTCTGATGCCTTAAGCGCTATACCCAACTGGCTCTCACATAGTATTTATTTATTGATTAGATTTTTATTCCATCTTTGTTACTTTATAGGTGATTCAAGGCAGTGAACAAGAATAATATCTTTCTCCTTCTGTTTTCCCCTATAACAACAACAACCCGATGAGGAAAGCTGAGCTGAGAAAGAGTGACTAGCCCAAAGTTACCCACTTGGCTTTCATGTTAGTCTCCTGATTTATAGGCTAGTACTTTAACCACTATACCATACTTATGTACTATTATAAGAAGCTAACATACAGCTCTGGCATTATACTATGTATTTTGTGTCTGATAATATCCTTCAGTTATCACCCATGCAAATATACATGTGCTCTTACCTTCATATGTTCAAAATCAGTAATCCCAATCTGTGGCAGATTTGAACAGTTTACATATATGAGTTTCCGTCCTGAGATAAAATTTGTAGTAAAACACTCCTATTTAAAACAAAATAAGAAATATTATTATTAATATGAGCTTCAGATGTTCTATTCTTCCAATTAACTAGCTAGCAGCACCTACAAAAACATGAAAACATGATTCATGAATATCCAAAAGAGAAAATTTTGGGACCTCCTTTACATTTTTTAAGCGCCACTGAACTCATTTTTATATTTCAGTAGGTTGATAGACCAAAGAACCTAAACAAGAGATAAGGAACCTAATTTTAGCTTACTAGTACCGGTAGTTATACTGACTAATGACTTATCAATGATGTTTTATTTAGCAATGGATGGCACTCTTCAGTGACTTAGTAGCTCCAAATTCCCCTTGTTGGATCTCTTCTGTTTCTTTTTTCTTTTGCAATACAATACTAGAGGTGTCAAACTCAAGGCCTGGGGGTGCTTAGATCTGGCATGGGACTGCCCTGGAAACAGCAAAGGAACAGCCCACGGTGCCTCTACTGGTGAAAACGGAGCTCGGGAGGGCTGTGTCTGGCCCTCTCGAGCTCCGTTTTCACTGGCAGAGTGTTGCAGGAAGCCGTTGCAGCTGAAAATGGAGCTTGGGGGCCTGTTTTCACTGGCAGAGCGCTTGGGCGACCATAGGTGCCCCTAACATGCCCACCCTTGCCACGCCCATCCTGGCCCCCCCAGGTCAACTACAACCCTCAATGAAATTGAGTTTGACATCCCTGCTGTAGACCATTACAACACTCAGTCAGTTCTGCAAACCTTAGTGTTTCCCCTTTAGGTATCATAGACAAAGAATCCCATAACTGAAATCCTTTGTGAATAATTAATTTTGTCATCAGGGTACTCTTTCTAGGGATATGACCATGATGTGAAACTAAATTCATACATCTTCCTAAATTCATATATGACATTCCTTAAAAAGAATCTGTTTAATGGGCCACAATTGGCTGACTTCACACAACCAAATAAACCATGTTATAATTAGTGCACTAGTGCATATTTATCTAAGCCCAGAGTCATCGTAAGTTGGGTGACCATATAAATGTTCTAAATAAATAAAAATTAGTGCATGAGTGCATATTTGGGTAAACCCATAGTCATCATGAATGAATTGGGCAGCCACATAAATTTCCTAAATAAATAAGTGACTGAATAAAGCTACAACTCATTTCTCCTTTGTATCTTTTGTATCTCCTCATCTCATTCCATTAAAAAATGACATTTAGTATTATCTATGAAAAAATATTTGATTACCACTTTAGATAAATGTACAAAATCTGCAAGAATCCGGATAGCAATAAGGATAGCAGCCAGGAGGCACAGACTACAGGTAATCCTTGACTTACAACAGTTCATTTAGTGACAGTTGAAAATTACAATGGCACTGAGAAAAGTGTCTTATGACTGTTTTTCACACTTAGGACCGTTGTAGCATCCCCATGGACATGTGATTTACATTCAGATGCTTGACAACTGACTCACATTTATGACAGTTGCAGTGTCCCAGAGTCATGTGATGCCTTTCTGAGATCTTCCAACAAGCAAAATCAATTGGGAAATCTGATTCACTTAGCCACCATGTTACTAATTGAACAACTGTAGTGGTTCACTTAACAAATGTGGCAAGAAAAGTTCTAAAATGGGGCAAAACTCACTTAATACATTTCTCACTTAACCACATAAATTTTTGGTCATAAATTGAGGACTACCTCTATTCTAGCTTTTGTTAACATTTACTGATCATCTGGATTTTTGTCACTCAGTCTTAGCTACACTGTCACTGGGATGTATTAAAACATGACACAAATTCCAGCCCTTACACACTTGTGTTTTACATCACACCACCAATGCAAAAGGGGGAAGCTTACATTATGGTAGTTTTATTGTATCATTGCTACATTCTGAAACCAAGTAGTGTAGGTTATTTTTGACAATAGGCAAATCCTTGTATCAAATAATGCTGTTTTTCTTACAGATGGACGCATTATGCAGAGCCCTATTGTTTAATTGTAATAAATCACCAGTGGCAGGAAACTATGCATCTAATCTGGATTCACCAAACATGCTAAAGTGGATCAGAGGCTTGCTGCTTAAATCCAGTTTGAATCCAGTCATTGCAAAGCAGAGAGAGAGAGAGAGAGAGAGAGAGAGAGAGTGTCTAAATAAGCCCAGTTTGGGACATACTCCGGAAACTATGGCTTAATATGAGGTGTGAACTCATTCTGCTAGCAAGGAAACGCGATCTTAACTTGTATTGAGGAAAGCCCAAGTCGCCGATCCATTCAGCCACCTCCTCGGGGGTCCAGGATAAATACAAAGGACCAACGATGGTGGGAACTTTGACTTCGGGCAGAGCTTCGGCTTCGGGCAGGGTTTCGGCTTCGGGCAGGGTTTCGGATGCAGCCGACGCCTGGCTGCTTTCTTTGACTGAAGACTGAGACTTCAGGGAAGAGGAGCGGCGGCGGCGGCGGCGGCGCGGCAGCGATTCACCCTCCCCCTCCTCTTCTTCATCATATTCATCTTCTTCTTCCTCCTCCTCTTCCTCGTCCGCGCCAGCCGCCTGCAAAGACGTGTTACTACTGTCCATGGCTCCGACCGTAGGGGGAGCAATGAAGGAGGAGGGGAAACTCTCCCGGTACTATGACAACGCGTCCTTCCTGGAGAGCGGTCTCCATGGAGACCGGTTCTTCCGGGAAGGGTCGCCGTTTTCCTTTTCCTTGCTTCGCTCTCTGTCATCGGGCAAACGCTCGAAGACGGCTCTCGGCCGAATTTAGGCGGGAACTCCGGAGGGTGGAGGCCTGAGAAGCGGCCGCTGTCAGAGGAAGCGGAGCGTTCGGCTTTCCCCGGCTGTTTCCGGCTCGGTTCGCCTCTCCCCGCTTTGACTTCGGGGGCTTCTTTGTCTCGCTTTCCGATGTCGGGCGAACCGGCCGCTCCCGAGGATACCCGGTCCAAAGCCTCCGCGCTCGGAGGCCCCGAAAACGGAGACAGCGGGGACCGTTGCTGGCCCAGCGGGGCCGAAGATCAAGAGCAGCGTGTGGCGGCGTCTCCGCTCCCGCTTCCTCCAGGTACTTTCGGGACGGCTGTGTTAGAAAGAGGTGGAGGGGTGTGTGGAGAGGAACCGTTGTGCCTGTCAGGCCTTAAAGCTCCGCCGAGGATCTCGCAGAGGGCTAGGGTGGGCTCGAGAGATGCGGGTTGTTTGAGGAGGGGGTTTCTTAGCCGCTAAGTTTCCTCCTTTCGACTTGTGGTTGGGGCCCTGCAAGGCAGGAATTCAACAGGTCACTCCTTCCCGGCCACGTGAGATGCTGCAACCCGTACTCGGTTTCCTGTGTTTGGCGGACCCGTTGCCTTGTCTGAGGGAAAGTAAATGGCCTTAGGCAGGGGTCTCCAACCTTGGGCACTTTAAGCCTGGAGGACTTCAACTCCCAGAATTCCCCAGCCAGCTTTGCTGGCTG